GTACACTTGGGAAAGAGGTGATGATAGAAGCATGATAGATTTCATAATTGTGGATGAAAGATTGAGGGGCGCAGTGGTGGATACAAGGGTTTACCGGGGGTCAAACGTAGGAACGGATCATTTTTTGGTTTTATGCCGAATTAATGGTCTATTCAGGCGGTGGCGCCATCGGTCATCTGTGTCTACCACTGCGTTACAGCGTATTAGAACAGAAAGATTACAAGATGAAGTTGAGAAAAACAAGTTTAAATGTAGACTGAAAGAAAACGTAAGTGGTTTGGATGAATTATGTATGAATGAGTTAGACTTGGAGAATGTATGGCAAAATGTTAAGAAAGGTTTAGTAGATGCAGCTACCGAAGTATGTGGTGTTAGTAAAAGAAAGAATGAAATGAAAAATAATACGTTATGGTGGGATGATGAGATACGTACGGAAGTTGAAGCAAAGAAGAGAGCATGGCTAGATTTACTAGCAACTAAGGCTGGTAATTCTAGCGGTACGAATGATGATTTTGAAAGAAAAAAGACAGTCTTTAGACATCTAAATAAAAGAGTAAAAGAAGTAGTTGAAAGGAAAAAGCAAGAAAGAACGGATAAGAATGATAGAAGAATATCGGATAACTTCCAGGCAAATATTAAAATGTTCTGGAAACTCGTAAGAACTGCCAGGGGATGTTCAAAACAGCCTATAATGAATGCTATAAGAGACGAGAATGGCTATATTCTTAATGATGAAGTTTTGAGTTTAAAGAGATGGAAGGAATATTTTGAAAGCATGTTTATGAGTGAGGAGACAACGTATGAACTGAATGAAATAGGAACTCCGAAAGAAGAGGAAGGAGGTAGCGAGATAAGTATAGATGAAATAATGAAAGCAATGAAAAGCATGAAAGCAGGTAAGGCTGCCGGATATGATAGAGTTTCACTCGAAATGCTAAGGGCTGGAGAGGAAGTGGTGGCAGGCCTGCTGCACACCTTGTTTAATTTATGCTGGGAACTGAAGCGGGTACCGGGAGACTGGTGCAAAGCCGTGATAGTCCCAGTATATAAGGGAAATGGGTCGCAGCAGGACTGTAAAAACTACCGCGGTATCAGCCTGCTTAGCATCGTGGGAAAACTGTATGCCAAGGTACTAATTGAAAGGGTCATGAAAGAAATCGATGGAAAAATTTGGGATGTGCAAGCGGGATTTAGAAAGGGAATGGGATGTACAGATCAAGTCTTCTCCATGCGCATGATCGCGGAGAAGTTTTTGGCCAAAAAACAAAAGGTTTTTTGTGCGTTCATGGACTTGGAGAAGGCCTATGACAGAGTGGATAGGAATGTGCTATGGCAAACACTGAACTCATTTGGGTTGAGCGCTGGCTTGATACAGGCATTGGAATCTCTTTATAGGGACTCTAGTGCTTGTGTTAGGATCAACGGGGTCTACTCGGACTGGTTTGGCATCCATAAAGGTGTCAGACAGGGCTGTGTGGCTTCCCCGTGGTTGTTCAACCTATTTATGGACAGTTGTTTGCAAAATTTGAAAGTTGAAGAATGCGGATTAAGAATGGGTGAGTTAACCATCAAATGCCTTTTGTACGCCGATGATCAAGTTATTCTTGCGTCGTCGGCGGCCGAGTTGCAAATGATGGTTACATTAATGAACAGATCATTTAAAGAAAGGGGTATGAAAGTGAACGCAAGTAAGACAAAAATTATGGTTTTTGAAAGAGATGAAAGTAAAACGATATGTGAAATAAGAATAGAAGGGGAGTTGATCGAGCAAGTAGATGAGTTTGTATATTTGGGTTGCGTATTTAGCAGGGATGGGAGATATGATAAGGATATAGAACGACGAGTGAACGCAGGAAACAGAGTAAATGGAGCCCTGCACTATATTGTGAAGAGTCAAAATGTGTCGAAAAAGGCACGTATGGCAATTCACAATGCTGTGTTGGTCCCTACTTTAACGTATGGTAGTGGAAGTTGGGTGTGGCAGTAGAAGCACGAGAGTAGAATAAATGCAGTAGAAATGCGGTCGTTAAGGAGTATGTTAGGGCTGAATCTGAATGACAGGGTGAAAAATTGTGTGATAAGAGAAGAGTGTGGTTTGCAAGATGATGTTGTGACCAGGATTAAGAAAGGAATGCTTCGGTGGTTTGGTCATGTGGAAAGAATGGATGAGGAAAGAGTGACAAAGAAAATTTATGTTGCAGAAGTGAATGGCAGAGTCGGAAAGGGACGTCCTAGGCGAAAATTTATCGACCAAATTGGCGATTTATTGAAAACGGGCCAAATTAGGAGTACCCTTAACCGACGAGCATGCATGCGTGGGTGTATGGATGTGAAGGAGGCGAGAGAGGTGTGTCAGGATCGTGCCAAATGGAAGTCTTTAGTCTCTGCCTACCCCTCTGGGTGACAGGCGTGAGTGTTTATGTATGTATTATGTATGTATGTATTTGCTATATAAGTTTCAGGGATGTTCAATGCATAGTTTTACGAGTATATTTACAGGGAACACATTGTACAACGATATTTTAGTGGATGAGATGTTTCGCTCCTATTTTATTGATAATAAGTAGTAAGATTTTGTATTTTGTAAATAAAAATTTTAACAAAATTAGGTAGTGTTTTATTGATGAGTCATATTAGTGTAGATAGGAACAAAGGAGTATAATACAATAGCACCACGCTGAGGAAGAATAGATAATGACGGTATTGAATGAACAATAGTTAAGTAGATAAGAACAATGGAGCGCTAATGACGGTGGAGGCCTTCACCGGATATCAATTAGATAAGAGTTAATTGATCTGCAAATCTCCGGAACCGTGCATCCTACGCAAAAATGGACCGCAGATTCGTGATCAGAGCATGCCAAAACTTTTTTTTTTTTAGGATCGTGAGTCGACGAACGTCGTACTTGTACCACTTCTGACTCAGTGCGCCAGAACTGGTACAACGTAACTACTGACAAGTGTTGAGGATGGTGGCTTTTTGGAGCATTGTTATCTATTATTATTACCTCATAGATAAACATGTTATAATTTCACTGCAAATCTCGATTTTTGGAAGTGTGTGTTTTTAAAACACAAAGTGCTCGAATATGTCGTCACCCATTTGATAAATATTGTAGACACTTTTACCACCCACTTTAACAAACTTTGAAGCGACAATAGTCTAAAGGCAGGGCGCTGATCGCGAACTCAAAAGGTCGTGGGTTCGAATCCGCCATTTGACTACTGTCGTGAACAACTCCTAACACAAGCGTTTCAAGCTTACCAGGAGTGGTTAAAAGCAATATTAGTAATGTTAATAAATAAGATTACTAATATTTAAAAAAAAAGAAAAGAAAGAAACACACTTGGAACGTTTAAAATTTTTCCAATCGAATAATATAAAAAGCGTGATAAGTGATAAGCGTGTATAAGATCTATGTACTGGTTAAGAGCCCGAGTATCTCTGAGAGAACTGTTTAAAGAAATTGATATCTTGACTATTGCATCACAATGTATTTCTGCAAATATCATGTATGTACGACAAAACATTCACTTACATGTTAAGAGTAGTGATTTGTACAATTTTTATAGTAGAAATAAAAATAAAATCACATTACCTGCTTTACGGTTACACAAAGTATACAATAGCTTCTTGGGTAGCGGTCTACGCTTTTATTACAAGATTTCAAAAGAAATGTTAGATCTTTCACCTTTTCAATTTAAGTCGCACATTATCCAAAAAAGCATAATATTCTGGAAATAATTATCTTAATGACAAAGAAGCTTGAAACTGACCTCTCGTAGTCGTACTACACAGGACTAACTGGAAATTTCTATACCGATTTGGTATCTACATATACATTTGAGATTTTATGTTCGATTTATCGCGTTACATAATTATAGTTCTATTGTAAAAATATTTTGAATAGATCAACTACTGAATTTTTTACTTTCTTCCGTGATTCTTCTCAGTAAATACAGCACCCCTGAACATGGAAAAGGTAAAAATTCGGGAAAACAGTAATTATATGACTATTCAAAAGTGTATTTTTAATGCCTACTTGAATTAAAAATAATTGAATTTTGAATTTCGAATGAGTGAAGTCATATTCGCGCATTTTGTGTTTTTAAATCACACACTTCCAAAAATTGATTAGCAGTGTCGATTTGTTAACTACTACCGTACTCTAGTAGTTATAAGTACCTAGATAAATACAGCAAGTAACGTACCTAGGCAAATTTAATTTAATTAACGTAGATTAATTCCATCACAAGACGAACACAATATACACAATTCACATCACGAGAAACATACTGACTTCCGTGGCCGTGGGACACGTCACGCAGACACACACACACGCGCCGTGGGTAGATAGTTCAGTTGGTTAGAGCATTGGCATGGATCTCAAACCCCGCCCGGTGTCAGTTGATTTTTCGAATTTCTCATTAAATGTTTAGACATTTACTAATTTGGTTGGTCTTTGCTATGACTATGTTAATTCAAGCTCAAAATGTACCTACTCCGTTAAGTTGTTCTAAGATCTAAAGTAACGTTTAAGTAATAAATAGCAATAGTCTAATAGGTAATTGCGAGACTTGCGAGACTCTTACTGCAAGACCAAGACCAAGACTGGGAGTGCAATACCAAGACCAAGACCAGGTGTATTGGTGCAAGACCAAGACCAAGACTGGCTAAGTCTTGTCTTGTTCAACAAAAGCATTTGGTCAATGCTTCTGTCTATCCGGCTGTCTGTCAGATGTCATATTTTTCTCTAATATTTCCCTTTATTATACAACATCTTACAAAACCGTGTGGTTCCCGTTAAGTGCGTTATCAAAATTAGCTGGTATACGTTTGAATACTGATTTAGATAACGCGCTCAACGGGAACTACAGGGTTTTGTTACATATTGTATTTCCATTTACACTAAAACAATGAAAAAATTCCGGTGTTCCCCACGTCAAAATTTAAATTGAAAATAAAAGCGTTTAATACAAAAGCGTATTATGATTTACAGGTTACGAAAAAGTCTGGCGGGAAATAGTAAAAGAGAGGAAGCGTCGCTATGGCGCATCGGAAGTAGATCAAATTCTGAAACAACCAAAACTTCAAACAGAAACAACAGATTTAGACCCAGATGGTCAGTTATTATTGTTGACGGAAATTAAGAAATGCGTCAACGAAAACAATAATCTCATAAAGAAAAGACTGGACTGCTGCTGTGAGGACGGAGACAGCATACGAGTCCTGGCTGAGAAGAATTTTTCAGAATTAAATCGTTTATCAAAGATGGCCGACAGAAGTGTCAAACACTTCAGTGGCCAGGACACGAGAAAGAGAGATCTAAACCCTGGATTTGATAGCGAGAACATCCAAAAACCAGCTCTGAAGTTAGAACAACCTTTCCAGAACTATCCTAGTATAAACATACCAAATATATCTAAAATAATATCATTGAAAAGCATACAAGATCCAACAACGGTGTTGTCCTCTCAAGCTACCTCAATGGACGAGCCTCAGAACTCAGCAGCGGGTGTGAGAGAAATGTTCAACGACGTCATTTTGGAGAGAGTTCAAGACTTTGGCTGCCAGGTGGAAGAGACGAAATCTTGGCCGGGAATCGCAGCCGTCATAAGCAGTTACAAAGAATTTGATACTGGTGGGTACTAACTTCCTGCATCTCTTACCAAGTCGTCTCTCCATCAGTGGTAAACACTTCGCTTCTTGTTATGAGGTCACAAAACCTTTCTTCCCCATTGGTTATATATGTACAATACATATATGGCCGGGCCATTGCTACTTCAGCTTAATAATCCGTTAGGCTATGTCGGTTACTCTGGTTCTAGAGAAAATCCGAGCGTAGCCCTCTTCGTAACTCGCTAAGCGATCTTGAACATCCTCATACAACCAGCAGTGAAGCACCACCTCTTAGATCCATATGTCATCACTGGCAACACGCACTGGTTGTACAATCGTAACAGCCTAACTAACAACTAAACTTGAGCCTAACCCGCTGCAGAATTAGTTAACCGAAGTCACGCTTGGAAAGCGATTTCAGTACTTTAATACTGATCCCATTGCCGGTACATATTAATATCTAGTCAATAATAGATTTATTGGTAAAAGAGTAATGTAAAACCACCTTACATTCCATCTGATAACGAAGATCAACATCAAACGAAGAAGGCTACGGATGCGTTGTCACCTCTGAGGATTATGGTGGAATGCCTCACAGCCCGTAATTATTCTGGCTCTCTGTACCCTTCATACCGGAACCCAGTTTCGCAGCAATAATAGGTACCTAGACGGACTTCTAGACTGAACACGAGTAATACCGCCTAGTAGACAACCGCAATCAAACATTATTTATAAATCCATTTCAGTTCATAGCTCACGCAGTGGCGGTGTAAGAATATCCCCCCACATATCGTCTTGAGGGTATCGTAGGATGCAACAGAGGGAAACTAACAACTCAAAATTATTTAAAAAAAACTGCGGGTGCCAACCTAGCCTAACCTAGCTTACCGACTATGGCAAAGTATCAGGCGAGCTAATGGGGGAGGCCCAAGTTCAGTAGTGCCTCTATATAGGCTGTAATGGTATGTTGGTTCCAGGGCGCAAGAAAGAAATAGCTGAGCTGCACCGGCGTAATACGGCCTTGCGCGTAGAGGCCGCACACATCACACGCGCCGCCGCTCGAGACTCAGAACAAGCGCGCGCTCTGCTGGCGGAGAGACACAACCTCGCCGCAGAGGAAACGCGCATCTCGCACACGTTGCGCAGACTATACGCAGCTATAGAATTTGTTAAAAAGTGCTAAGATTGTATATCATCGAAAACCGTACTTTAATTAAGAACTTGAGGGACGAAAATCAAAATTATAAAAGAGACACATGAGTAAATATCCGAACACAGACAATCTTATATCGGTGAATATTACACTGTATTGTATTAATGTTAAGATATTATCAATATATGAGCCATATAGTCTATGATCATCTATGATCATAAAACATAGTATTAGATAGTTTTATGATCCAATTTAATGATGTTTAAAATAGGATACCACAGTATAGTGTAATGAAAGCCTTAGAGCGCGCATTAATTTATGCTTATTTTGTTAGGGTTGTCACGTACACGCTCTCCAGTCACATGCAATAGTCAAATAATATTTTATAACAATTTTTATATGATAGAAAGTAATTCTGAATTAAATTATTACATAATGTTTAACATTTTAATTATTTCGGTTTTTCAATGACTTCTTAAAATAAAAACCCAAAGGATACACTTTAAAAGCATGCAATTAGTATGTTCAACATAACTAATAATAATTAATTCAAATAAAAACGTTCTTCTGTAACACACTTTACACATAAATAGGACGCGTTTTTCTTTCAATATATAGGATGACAAACGAGGTAACCGTCCACCTCTTGGTTAATAGTGGCTGCTGCAACTAGGGTTGTAGCAAGAATGGGTCGGCTCGACCGGGGAAGGGCCACTCTCTCACAGACACCCAGCGTAAAATATCGGCTCAATGCTGCAGTGTTTCATATGGTGAATGTAGAAAACCAGAAATCTTTATTACTGGACACGATGCATTCCATCTTAATCCTCAGGAGTGAAAACACATTTTCATTTTGATTTTTAAGCAAGTTCAAATGTCTATATGCCACAGCATCCACTTACGATCAGGTGGATTATGTACTCACTTGAAACCCTTATTCTATATTTAAAAAAACGGATTCCTAATAACGCTATTATATTAATATTTGAAACAGCAGTATGTGCACTCCTGCTTGGCTGCAGAAATAGGGGACAGGATGAAACCACGGACGAAAAAAAATATGGAATCTGCCCAAACGGACTGCTATAGAAATAAACCTAAACTTTGTTTTTGTGTTTACGTGGTAGAGCCACGCTGCAGCTATATTAGTTGTAGCACGAATGGGTCGGCTCGACCGGGAGAGGACCACGCTCTCACAGAACATTAGTGTAAAGTAGAAGCTTGGGGCTGCTGTGTTTCGTATGGTGATTGTAGAGAATCGGAGACCCTTTATGCTGGAATGGAGGCATTCCGACTTAGACTTAAGTGGTGAAAACGCATCTGCGTCTTGGTGTCACATTATCGTATCATCAGGTAGACTTTATGCTCGTTTGTCGCCCATATTCTATAAAAAATGTAAAAGCCATAGTGCCAAAGGCAAAGTGAATTAAATTGTAATGAGTTCTCGTCGTGAGTATTCGTCTTTTATAATGAAATTTCTTTTCGATTGTTTAGATATTTATTCATGTGATGGAATAATTAAATTAACTCAAGAATATTTTGAACACTTTGACAGCGTTTGCTAGTAACTAGAGTACCAACATAATAAACCAAATTCAACATCTGTCATCGCCATTTTTTTCTAGAATATGTTTTTAACCTCAAAAAATGTAATTAATTAAAACGTTAAAAATATATTTATTTAAGATTATATTCCAAAACAAAAAATATGTCAATTAGAAACTTTAAAAATAAAAATTATCGTTTATTTAAAAAAACAAAAACTACATAATGTGCCAATACATTTTATATTAATACAAAAAAGTAATACAGAAAGACCGGTTTCACAAAATCATGAGACTTAACTGTCATGCTAAAGTCCAAACATATCCAAATAGCGAATGATAGGTAGCATTCAAAGACTTCTATGTTAACTACTAGATCGTCAATTCAGAACAAAAACAGCTGAGGATGAAGAGCACGTGAATAGTGAAAGCGTATCCTTAGTCATATTAAACGAAATCAGTGTTAGATTGTCGAAAACAATGTTCGCGGTTACAAAATAAAGAATTATATAGTATTCTCGTCCGCTCGGTGTGCAATAAGTAATGAAGTAACTGTACACATAGAAGTCGTTGGTAGCATTACTTCTTTCAATCATATTTCCATTATAATTAATTTCATGTTTTTGTTATAATCAAAGTTAGGCTAACATTAAAACAGAACAAATATTGTAAAATGACATTTTAAACATAACTAAGCCAATTTAATAAATTTTCGCTTTATTGTAAAACAAGTACTTACGTGTTATTAATGGAATAATTAATAAGATTTAAAATCTAGTCCACGAACAATGGTCTAGTCATTTGAACTATATAAGAATAAATAAGTTTATAAGAATGACCACTTTTAACTGTATTTATTAATTTAATAAAATGTTAACGTAATAACAAACGAAAATGTAAATAACCGATCTGAATAATAGTAATATGTTTTTGTTACTGTAACACTAATTTGTTTTTTTTAATTGCAAAAGAATTGTTTACCGGTAGATTATGTAATATGTTTTCCTATAAGGGACAGAATGTAATTTAGTGTATGTACTTTGTACTTAAAATATATTTTTCGTAATTTGCAGAGGATATAAAATGCTTCTATTTTCGGTGCCTGTTAATTTGTACAAGTGTTAATAGGTGTAACTTATGGTTAAATATTTATTATCTGTAAACTGTCTCAAAAAATGAGAGGCTGGTGTACCCAGCAGTGGGAAGTGTATGGGCTGTAACTAACTCTATAGATGCAATAAATGGAATATATTAAATTATACATTTTGTATATATTTTTTTAGCCCATAGAAATTACCCTCAAGGAGTGAGGGCCGAGAACATGCTCAGAGGGATAGACTGAGGATATTTATTATTTATACCTTTAGTAAATAAAATTGAGCTGTCTGTCGGTATTATTTAAATGGCTTTTATCAAGCTCAGGGGGCTATTTGCATGGTATTAAGAGACACAAACAAACACTTTTAAAAATGTTGTCTATGAGTTTGTCTGTAGGTCTGCTAGGGTTAATTTTCGGAATGGGTAAACCGATTGTGATGAAACTTTACGAAAAGATAGAAAGTAATTACAGGATGGATCTAGGCTACATTTTATCAGAAAAACTTGATTTAAAAAAATATTGATAAAATAAACGGTCTTCGATTATTTTAAATCTAAATAACGCCACATTAATAGATCCTATCCAGGCAAAACCAGGGCGAGTCGCTAGTCGAGTGAAGCCGTTATCATGAAGTGGCGGTGTAAGAATATCCACTAAACTCAATTCATCCCGTGGGTGTCGTAAGAGGTTGAGCGGGAAACAAATCAGGAGATGGGTAGCAGCGGCTTCCTAATAACGACTAAAAGTAAAAAAAACTGCGGTTGCCGACCCGCTTGCCAAGCGTGGCAACTATGGCAAATATTCCCCTTATTAAGAAATCTATGGGGGATGCCTATGTTCACCAGAGGAATTTGATAGGCTTGAACAGTATCCTTTCTTTTTCTTTCATTTTTATTTTGAAACACGTTACCACCACACTAGGATTTTCTCCTGTATCGCGGGGACAGTTTACAAACATAAATTGCACAAGGATAAACATCCATCACCCAGAACATTTATTTGTAGGCTTGAACGAATTAACCACTGGACCCGACATATGAGCGGACGTACCTATATCGGTCTTGTCAGTAACCAAGCAATTTTAGGCTTGGTCTTTTGTTTTTGTTTGGATTATACCATTCAGAACAGTGACTAAAATTGTGGAGTGAGTCAATTTGACATCGACTATTGCTTGACCATGTCGAAAAATATATCGATATTTGACGATATGACCGAATGAATGATGATGTTATTTGTACAATACAATAACACTTAAAAATACTTATACATATAACAGTATCCTACAATCTGATGTCATTAAATTTATAATAATAATTTTTATAATTAAATAAAATATTATAAATGCAAAAATTATAATTGGTATCTGTACTTAAAATATTTAAACACATAAACTACACGAATTTTCAGATTTCCCAGTGACCCTTCTCGGAAGAGAAAGTGGGTAGAAGCAGTTCGTAAAGATGAAACCTGGATCCCGACGAAACACAGCGCCATAATATGCAGTGTATATTTCGATACTGCGTGTTTTAATACTAATGCAAAGAAACAGAAAATTACACCAATGAAGGCAGTCTCATTGCCCATAAAGACAAGGGAAAACTGATACTTCCCTCAAGTGATACCATAGCTATTTGCTAGCACTGCGAACTCGAACTTAGGAAGGGTGTTCAGAATAAAAGACTAAAAAAAGATTACACAACAGACTTTCTTCAGCCAAAAGTAACAGAAACATTGCTGCAACTTCCGTTGTACGAAGACATTAATTTCCATAAATTTGAAAACGACGACGTGAATCACGTCGAAGAATTAATGAAAGCCGTTGCTGAAAAGTATTTAAACATTAGAATTGCTTATATAAGAAAACAAGCGAACACAACAAATTCTAAGAAACACATTTTAAGAAAGATGATACATAAGAAGTCAGTGAACCTACTAAAATAATTTAAACTTAACAAAACATTTGACGTTTATCATAACTATAATTGTATAAAGTCTATAAAAATGTCCTGCTTCTCTTATTTTAATTAAAATTTAAATACCGGAAGCTTACCTCACCTTCATTATCCCTTTATTTCCTTTGTTTTACAGCTTATTTACGATACGCCTTTTCTTTCTCAATCGTTCATCGATATATTTTATCGACTAAAATCAAGCACTAGAAATAGAGTAAACTTCTTCGTATCTGTGTTTACATTAAGGCGCTACCTCCAGCGAACGACCTTGAGCGTTTGGTCTGTCGAAGCTCGCTACAATATATCGCGTAAGAAATCGCCAAAAGACGCCACCTACTGCTACGAACGTAGTATTATTTTTTCAATGTCAATGAACTCTTCTATGGAAATAGACAAGGCGTACAATGATAAATGTATTTTAATTTTCTTTATTCG